AGGATGGTCCAGCAAGACTGGATCAAGATCATGTTCATCCAAATACAAGCCATTCAAGCTTACATAGCAACAGGTGTATCACCCTGATTTCATGTGTAATTGTGATCAACATCTGTTAGCAAATTCAGTGATTGCCAATGTTTGGCCATTACTAGGGCCAACAAACCGACATTCCTCCTTCCCAGGCGTCGTTTCCAGTATGTAGCTATCATATGCTTCCTATTCAGCTAAATATGTTGTCACTCGAGGTTGAAACCAGCGGCTATGACTCTCTTATACTCTATTTTACCGTAAACATCGCGCACATGCAGACTGAAAGCTCTTGCAATGTCACTTCCTGAAGGGATATCAGTCTCAATTTTGGAGGCGAACTTGACAGAACATTGGCAATGGCAATGGCAAAAAGAAATTTGACGTGACTTTTTGCAGGTGCTTGCAATGACATATTTTACCGATTTGTTAAGAAATGACTCAATGTTAAAAAATTACGAATCACCTCGTACTGGGTGTCTAAAGGCAGTACAGTGTATTTACATGTACTAAAAAATATATAATAAAAAAAAAATCCGCCCGCCCGCCCGTAAAAAAAATGTCCATGTTAGTCGAACCACACACCTTCTTTAGTTTGGCCTCATGATAATAACCATGCATGATGATGAATACAATGTACGCCACAGTGCTGGCAATTGAAATCCGACCCTCCGGGCGGCGCGCCGCGCCGGCCAGGGGGCGGATTTCAGTTGCCAGCACTGTAGTGTAGTACGTAGTAGTACTAGTAGTAGCCTACAAAGGCAGAAAAGAACAGAACTTAGGGCGCGTTCGAATTGTCACTCTTTGACTTTTCGAGGAGTTTCGTTTTTCTGAAGAGGTGGCCTTTATCATGTTTATTGGCCTCTTCAGAAAAACGAAACTCCTCATCTACAATGGGAGAGGTGGATTAGGGGGCGTTCGAATTGTCTTCATCAACTGTTCGAACAATTTTTTTTAAAGAGATTACACCAGTAGATCTGTAGTACTAGTAGTAGTTGAAGTGTTGAAGTGTCCCATTAGAACGGTTTCTATCATTTTAGAGTTTTTCAGTGGAATTGTCATGGCGATGATGACGTCCGATCAGATCGACCATCTCCACGTACTACGTGACGTAGCTACTGTATTCCAAACTCTTCGGAACTAATCCACCTCTCCCATGGCCAATAGGATGAGGTTGTGGAGTTTCGAGGAGTTTCGTTTTTATTTTCTGAAGAGGCCAATACAGTATGGCCACCTCTTCAGAAAAACCGGTGAAACTCCTCGAAAAGGCAAAGACTCAAGAGTGACAATCCCGGCGAACCCGCCCTTGTTCCGAAGAGTTTGGAATACTAGTAGCTGCGTCATGTGTATACGTCGGGATTGTCGATTAGGCCTTGACGGATTATGCTAGCATAATTTTTCGCATAATTCCTACCAAAATCGAATAATCGCATAATTCGAGGCAAATTGCATACGAATCGCATAAAATTGTAATAATCCGCCTGTTCGCATCAAATTCCATACAGTTGTACATGTACATATTCAACAAGTACAAGTACAAGTAGATGCACTAGGAAGTCGTAGGTTTACGACTATGTCCAGTCCACTACAATCAGTGATGGTCGTAGCTAGGTCGGACGGTGCGTTGACCCCGTTGAACTTTTGCTACTACAGTACAACGCCCCTCTACAAAAAAATTCCCCTGTGTATTATTTTGCACTGAACCATTATGCATTTGCAGCATATGGGAGCATAATGCGGCATAATATGATAACTTTTAGCATAAAAATAGCATAATTCTGCAATTTTTACAGCAATGCGAAAAGCATAATTTCACGAAAATATTAGCATAATCCGTCAAGGCCTATTGTCGATGCGATCAGACGGCATTATATCTTACCGTTTCGTTCTCCTGCTAAACAGAGCTTTCTATCGTCGAAAAAAACGATACCAAACCGACGGTATTTTGGGTGCTGGGTGCGAGTACCGTTGGATTTAGCGCGAACGGTAAAATGCTAACCATGTCTAATGCTAACCATGTCTAATTCGATAACCACAATCAATAAGACAAGCTGAATCGACTCAGCTTGTCTTATTGATTGCGGTTATCGAATTATTGTCTCCTCGCCGCATGTCTAATTCCATTGAAAAACTCTAAAATGATAGAAACCATTTACCGTATTTTCCGGAGTAAAGTGCGCACTTTAGATGTGCTATTTTAGGCCCTAAATTGCAGGTTCGCACTATGCTCTGAATATGAAATGCATGTACTTCAATGAAGATTGAAGTGTGCACCCCCAATGAAGATTGGGGGTGCGTGTTATACAAAGGTGCGCACTATACTCTGAAAAATACAGTAACTAATCTCTTTAAAAAAAGTGTTCGAACAGTTGATGAAGACAATTCGAACGCGCCCTTACAGACTGCATGCAGTAGTCAGCAGTCAACTAAATACTTCGCTAATAACGACTGTACGTGCCAATCATGCAAACGTATGTTACCATGGTTACAAGAGGCAGACAGCTGTATACTGCGTACTGCCAACTGCCAACCAGTGTAGCCCGCTGAAGTGTAGTAGTAAACTTTACGACACTCGGTTGGGCATCAGAAAAGTGTCCTCATTCGCGGAGTGTCCTTATACCCAAAGTCCCATTTGAATGTATGTTAGGGGTGAAACGAAGGTCTCAATTTGCCAAACGAACTTTCGTCATCAAAACGAACGAAGGTGTCGAAGGATTCTTTTACCAGTTCACAGTTCCTCTTGAAGCACACTCTGTGCATGTGCCCTACAAAGTACATGACTGCGCACATATTTTCTGTGCAGTCGCCACAATTGGCACATCCATAGCTTTCAAGTTGCAGTGCGCAGGTTGCACCCCAAACTGCCCAAGACTACTTCTGCACACTGTGGCCGTGAATGGCCACGCTCAATCGCAGTCCGTGGCCTACTATGGACTTGCAGTGGCACCTACCTGGAGCCAAGTGGACACAAAACTAGTCGACTGTACAAACTACAGTACAGTACACGTGTATACAGGGAAGATCAGTGCATGTGTGTGCAGAAATCGTGTGTCGACCTTCTTTTGAATTGAAAACGAAGGTTTGTTTCAAATGAAAACGAAGGTTCTTCGAACCTTTGACACCTTCGTTTCACCCCTAATGTATGTGAACCCATATTTTGTATAGTACGACATGCATATCAAAATGAAGCTCTTCAATTATTTTAATAAAGCAATAAATAATAACTACATGTAACTCTGCCGTCATCATTCGTACCATGTACCATGTATACCATGCATCAACGAATCGATTTTCATGTCACTATCATCAGTGGAATATCGTGACTAAACTGTCTAAAGTGAAGGCTAGCCAAGCAAAAAAATTATTTAAATATGATGCATTCCAAAATGTGATAAAACTGACAAGCAACTTACAGCAAGCAACAAAAAATGTGCTCTGTGAGCAAAAGAAGCATGTTGTCGCGCTGAAATTATCTTGCCGTTTTAAAGTTCTTCCTTTTTGAAGTTTTTCCACAGTTTGTTTCTCTCACTTCACAGTTGTCACATTCTGGTTTTCTACTCGACACAACGCTTTTATTACAAACAGCAAAATATGAGAACAACAATGGAGAAAGAACTCAACGCCGCATTCAAATGACTTATTATGACTATGTACCAGTAATGGCAATCAGGCCAGGGCTTGCTGTTATGAGTCTGACTACATTACTGCCCAGGTCGTAAAATACGACACCTTCTTTTGTGCCACCTAACTACCATTTTTGTTGCTTGCCTGTAAGTGTTTTCACATTTTGGAATGCATATTGTGTGTGTTTTGTCCTCAAGTTTCCTTTCTTTTTGTTCTCCACATGTTTTCCAGTAGGGCTGTGTTGATAGTATAAAAAGAGGGTTTCTTGTCTCCTTGCGCAAAATAATTGCCGCCTTTAAAACAAATGATTTTTAGCCAGAAATTGCACTCAAATTGTCATGGTCCGCAACACTGGGTACCGCACTCTGCGACTTGTTGAGTACGAGTACAATGTACCGGGAGTACCAGGGGTACTAAAAAAGAGGTTTTCCTACCCCTGGTGAGTAGTTTTCCTGCAGCTACAACAGTCAGGCTGTGTTACATGAGGCGTTTCAACCCGGGTTGAGTTCGACCCGGGTCAGATTTCAACCCGCCATGTACACAAAAATGAATGGCTGTGTTTACATGAGAAATTTCAACCCGGGTCGAGTTCAGCCCGGGTTGAATGTCTGTACGATAGACAAAAGAGGTGAGCGTTTACATGAAGACAGTTGACCCAGGTCAAATACTGATTTGCCGCCAAAAGTCCACTTCTACAATCTTGTATGGTCACGTGAATACTTTCGCTCGAAATTTGCATGTGCAGTGCTATTCAAACCTGGCGCGAGATACGCACAGAAGTACGTTACTAGGATTTTCTCGACCGGGTTGATCTCAACCCTCCCCTTGGAGGGGGGGGGGGGTTGAAATCAACCCGGGGCGAAATTTCAACCCGGGTCAAGCGCAATGCGTCATGTAAACGCGCCATTCATTTTGTGTACATGGCGGGTTGAAATCTGACCCGGGTCGAACTCAACCCAGGTTGAAACGCCTCATGTTAACACAGCCTTACTTAAACTATACTGGTCTTCAGTTGCATTACTACAATGTAGTGCATCACTCCAGGGAATCAACCGCCTGTATTCGCCTGTATTCAGAAGAATTTGTAAAGCACTTCCGTATCTATGGTAACCAGTGTGAAAACAGTAGAATAGTGCTACATATACTAATAAACTTGAAAATACCGCCATTCCGGCAACAGGCTCTCAGCTACACCAAATAGATCATAGTAACTTTGCCAATATTTCGCCCATTGGGCACCATCAGAGCATTGAGGAAGGGGAGGCAAAAAACCCGAAATATAAAGACGAATAATGCAGGCAGATGAATGTTCTAGAACTAACACATCGTGGTGACACAATAATGAATTGGCAAGGCCAGCAAACTAAACAATCACTTGTAAGGTGACCTAAACAGAACGAAAGAAGAGAAAACTCACACGTACACACAGACACAATTTGGCAAGAAGGCAAGAAAACTAACACTAACACTGAAGAAACATATACTAATAAACATGATAAAATCATATCATTAAAATCTTTGGTTTGTGTCTTTCCCTCAAACCAGTTAGTAAAAATCATTAATCAATTCAAGTGTTTGGAGTCGCAGTGTTATGGGAACACTACGTCACTAGTTCATGCAACACTTTCTAGGAGTTCTAAAAGCAGGCCTATTTACATACAAAGTAAAAGCAGCTCACGAAAAAAGATCATGCAGAGAATCATGGATGGCCGCTGAAAGGCCAAGCAGGGAGTCAAGTTGGCAAGACGGTACAAATGCAGTTCAACAAAACAGCAAACCTACACAACCATCACCTCTAGCGTGCACTGCACACGCACGCCGTAATCTAAGCAGAAAATAACTGAATGGACGTCAGCACCAGCAGTTTGCATTGCGGATACACGTGTATGTGCCGGGAACGCAGCAGTAGAAACTGACAATCAGTCAGTACACCAGCTTCTGGCAATAGTACTGCATGCTGCAGCTTGATGCGGGCACGCAAAACTGCTGCAAAAAAACAAGTTTAAAAAAAAAAAGTCGGGGTCTATTCCTAGTTTCTACGTACTAGATGAATGTACTGCAGTGGGTGTGTATATGCTGTGTGATGGCTGACTGCTCACTGCCAGAACGCGGCTTGAAGCTGCCATCGCGGAAACTGAACCTCACATCACCTGTGTGTGTGTGTGTGTGTGTGTGTGTGTGTGTGTGTGTGTGTGTGTGTGTGTGTGTGTGTGTGTGTGTCTGTCTGTCTGTGCATGCATGCATATAATTTACATGTAACTGGCCACGTATACATAGATTGCATGGCAGTTACGGCATCATCGTTGTGTCCAGCACAAATCAGTCATCTCTTTGCTTAGCTTGATACTCAGTGTGCAGCATGCGGCGATCAGGCCAGCAGGAAACACCCGATGATGTCGTTTTACGCGAGTAGGCGAGTTCAAGTCCTGCGTCACGCTGCAGCTGCACTAGGAACGTCAGAAGCAGCTACAGAAGCAGCAGCACCACCACCATCACTACCACCACAACCACAACCACCAGCAACAGCAGCAGCAGAAACAACACCACCAGCATCACCACCACCAGCACCAGCACCACCAGCAGCAGCAGAAACAAAAACAGAAACAGATTTCAAAATGAACTTAGAACCTCGTTGGAACAACCAACTTCATAGCTTTTGAAATCTTCATTTTACACTTTAGGAAAAGCATGAGGACTACTGCAAAACTTAAAAGTGACAGCAGTGGTAAGAGAGCGCCCATCTGATGGGACTAGCCATTTCAGAACCTATAATTATAATGTGTTTCTGCACATCTTGACCACTGAAGAAGGATGACAGTTTCCGTAAAGACTGGGGGTACTATTCAGTGTATCAGTGAGTGGCTGCAAAGCCTATATTCCAAGGGGAGGGGGAGGGGGTTACGACTGTAAGATACTGTAAATAAAAGACAGTAGAATACAGTGGAGTAGTTCGCCATCACCAGAAATCACCTCCTGTGCAATATAATCACTAGGTCATTGTTTTCAAATGTTGAGAGGTCTCCACTGATCAAATGTTGCCCCCAATCCTTCTAGAACCCATCTTTCTCAAAACGGTACTGGGAAATTTGACACGGTATGTCCTGCGGGTGACAATCCGGTGCATTTTTTCAGATTCTCTTCCCTTTACTATTTCAGCAGACTGATGAAAACTCCTTTGTAAGGGGAATGCGTCACAGTTGCCATTTTCGGGGAACACTGTGGTCACACACATACACCCGCTGCTGAAGTTTGATTTCACCATGGTTAATATTCACGTTATGTTCTTCTCCCAAAATTAGCAAACATCAGTACGTCGCAAACATTTCGGCAGTTTACAGTAACACCGCCAACTGTGCAACATTTGACAACATATGTGACAGGTGCTTTATTGGCGAGAGGCGAGCTGCTGTTTACCTGCGACAAGAAGTTGATTTTTCGAAAGACGTAAAACTCAAGTCGCAGTTCGAAGCAACACGTAAAACAACTCACCTGCTTGGTGTGGCGCTTCTGGTCATCGCAGAGCCATGACATTTTGGCTCGGAGTAAAACACATCATAGGCTCACTGTGACATATGAGCCAGCACAAGCGGAAAGGGACCTTATCCATTTTTTGGGCATTTTGAGTTAGCAACGGATTCTTGTAGCCAGAGAACGTATGAATCAGATAAAAAAAACGAATGAAAATCCATCAACATATAGCAAAGTTACGGACGTTTAAATCAACACTGTTTTCACCAAAACATCGCACATATTCACGAATAATCTTTGAAATGCGTAAATTGCAATAATTTGGCCATAGAAGCCTTACAGAAGCCTTCGAGTCACCAGCAGAAAGGCTGGAGGATACAGTATACACACACTACTGGGCAGGTGGCATAAGTTTCACTGTGATAGAATTTATAGTGCCAAGCGTGACGTCTGATGGGCCATCACGTCCTTCCGTACCACGCAGGCACGCCGCATTTTAGATCTAACAACAAGAATAATAGAATGTTCTGAGGCATGTAGTTTGACACAGCATCAGACTCTAGCAACTATCAGGCTCAAAACGTGTGTTGCAGTACGCAAGTTTGTCATTCCTCCGGCACAGGCGGACACAGCTCATCCTTGTAAGTGTCTGCCACAAACGGCCGGATATCCTTGAACAGGTACTTCTGGCGTTCTTGTGACAGACCTGCTGGGGGCAACACTTGGGGAAGGCCTGCTGCTCTCACCTGCTCAGGTGTGGTCTTCAACAGCTGAACATGGTCAGTCAGCTGATGCATGCAGTCGTCTTCTGCTCCTCACTCCCAGCCGCCATCACGTTGCGCCGCAAGTCCTCGCACACCGGGCAAACATCCATGCGAGCCGTCATGAACTTAATATGCGGCAATGTCTGGTGCCAGATGGAGCGGAACGTCGACAAGGATACAGACTTCTTACCCTCCTTGTGGCAG